GAGAGAGAGAGAGAGAACCTGCAGAGCCAGAAGTGATCTCTCATCATGAATATGCCAATCGACATCCCCGCCTTTTGATTTGAAAACCTTCATGTGAGACTCGATATGGGCTAAATCCTTGTCCCTACAACCCGCATTCACAACCAAGTATATATGGTCATTCTTCACCTTTGCAATCACAGAATCATCAATGGCACCCCCTCTCTCATTGGTGAACACAGTGAGAGTCCCAGTTCCATCAGGAAGGCCCGCAACATCTGCTATTACAAGCTTTTCAAGAAAGGGGATACAATCCTTCCCTTTGAGACTAAGGCCACACATATGAGACACATCGAAGAGGGCCCCATTCTCTCTACAATTGATAGTGGAATCCATAATTGAATCCTTGTATTGAATGGGCATGCTCCAACCAGCAAACGGAACCATCTTTCCCCCATTCTCTATGTGAAAGTCATGAAGCACAGTTTTCTTTAGCTCACCTGTCTCTGTTGCATAAAGCCTATGAAATACGCAGTCACCTAAGACTTTCTCTCTCCTCCCAGCTGCCTGAGAGAGGCAACGGGTTAATGATTGCCCAAGCTGCCATAATGGGCCCCTCATTTTGCATAAACCTGTCCAGAAAATGAAAAAAAAAAAAACAAGGACTTAACCTCTCTAAGTAATCAGTGATTATTAATACCTTCCAAGGTTTCTACAAATGCAGGTTCTGCAACATTCGAGAAGAAAACTAGCCTTGAAGACTGTAAATGCAGATTCTTCGATGGGTACTTACCAACCCCACCCCCAAGAAAAAAAAAACAAAACAAAGGGAATCTTTGGATGGGTTTCAACTATTTCAAAGAATATTGGAGAAAGAATACAAAAATTGCTATGGAAGGAGAATAAAAGTGGGGGCAAAGCAACACTAGAGTTGGTTCATCTCCCTATAATCACTACATCCTAGTATCTTCAATGGTTTCTGCAATAAACGAAAACCATTGGCCTTGAGTTGGTAAATGCAGAAACTACAAATGGGTCTCCACAATTTTTAAAGAAAATCATCTATCAAACAATACTGAAGCAATTGGAGTTCTATTGATTTTCTTCAAATGATCATACCAATGCAGATTCCGCGTCTTATGATACTATTGGCCTTAGAGCCGTGCAGATTCTACAAATGGGTCTCAGAAATTTCAAAGGAGTTTGAGAGAACAATCAAAAAGTAGCAATGAGAGTACGATGACAACCCAGGAAAAGCACCTGGAAAGATAAAAATGTAAGCATACATTACATGACTGTAGCAGATTCTTAAATTAAAAATCAAATTTTTAACATTGTGGTCCTCTCCTAATTCATGTAATGGACATAAATTGAGAGAGAGATAGAGAGAGAGAGACGATGGATCATGTATCTGACCTGTTTCTTGCTGGTTGGATGTGCGATTCTGGGGATGTGAGAGAAGGAAGAATAAGGAGGAGGGGAAATAGTTATAGCATTAGTGGGTGGCGGAGGGTTCATATCCACCAAACCATCTGTGATACGGGATATAATTTGCCATCCTTAGTGAGTGGCCATCTCTGTTCCTCTTCCTCCACCCTTCTTAGGATTTTGCAAGTTTTGTATCTTTATCCATGCTTGACTGTGACATCTCTCTCTCACCCCATTCTGAACCTAGTGTTATTTAATATTGAGTGATGAGTTTATTGTCCAAAAAAAGAAAAAGAAAGAAAAAATATATATTATTTATCAAGGTGGTCACAATTCTATACAACAAGTAGATGTTAAATTTGATAGTTTGGATGTGTAGTAAAGTTTGAAAAAATTGATCAATGGAATAATTGCAGCGATCCAATGTTACATTCAATGGTCAAGATTAATGTGACCACCTTGAATGATGAGTATGTATACTACGCCCCTGAGGGAGCATAGCTTACTTTTACTCTTGGTGTTAATAACTTGCTTAGGAGAACTTTTTAAATCTAAAATGTATGAATCACCTAACAATCATTAGATGATTGTTCTAAAAAAGAAAAAAATTTAAAATTTAAGTTTTTTAACACTATGATTTTGTATTTAAAAATTAAGTCGTCTCTATTCAATCTCAAACCGTTATTTGTTCAACTCATAGAGGGTGGAATTAGGAAAGTTTCTTTACCCAAGTTAATCTATCCAGAGGTTATAACCCCAAATTTTGGGATCTAAAAACTAATTACAGGTGGGATTTTACAAGAGGGAGTAAATAAACACTCTACTCCAGAAGGAGTAGAGTATCTTTGCCGTTGCAAAATGATTTTGAAAGAGAAAATGCTGGTAGCGAGAGGTGGAAGCAAAGGCAAAAAGGGGTGGTATGGCGTCCAAAGCATTTGGACGCTTAAAAGGTGCACGGTCACTTTAATGGTTCAGATAGAACTATGCTCATCCAAGGGCCCATAATGAATCTCATTTTTTATTTTTTATTTTTATTTAAAAATAATATTAATCTGAAATTTTGGTTTTAAGTTCATTTTTATAAATAAGATTGAATAAAATTAGTAAAAACGCATTTTGAATAAAAAATATTGGCTAAAATAAATTTAGAGATGTTTTGGTATTTTTATATTTTAAATATTTTATAGTTTTTTTATTTAATTATATATATATATACACAACAAAATTAAGATCGATATCTTATTTTAAAAAAAATAAAAGACTAATTTTTGTCAGAAGATATCTCAACCATTAATAAGGTGCTTGTGCACCCTTACACGCCTCCACATGATGCCGAAGTGATTGCTTTTCCAAGGAAAAATAGTGCGGAAGCTCGGAATGAAATGAAGATATTAAGCCTGCTCAGACATTATATTGAAAGAAAGATGTATGTGATCTTTTGTCAGGGAATTACAAATTTTTTTTTATAATAATAATAATAACCTTTTAATTTTTAGCAACAAGATCACTCACAAATTATCTTACTACAATCAACAGATATTCCAAAATAGAATACCATAACAAAATAACAAAACTCAACTACTTGATGCCATTGACACAAGTTAATACTATGCTTAAGAATATGAAATAAAGAACAAGTAAGCATAAGATAAAGATGTTGGAGATTACCTCAACCGGGCTTTTTACACTCCACACCGATTCACCACATCCAATGGCGCAGGATCTGCGGTTTAACTTCAATCTCCAATCGGGAAAACTGATTTCGACCAAATTATGTAACCACCCTTAATTCTTCACAAAACCTTAACCTCCAAAAATAACTTAGGCTTCCCTCTAATTTCTACAACCCTTAGTTTTTTCTTAAGTCTAGAGAGAAAAAGAGTAATAGCTAGAGTTGGGGCATGGCCCCCCTTTGAAACTTTAGGATATAGAGGTTTAGAGAGAGAAACTCAAAGGAGAGAGAGTGGGGTGTATCCCTCAAGGAGAGAGAGACAATTGGAGAGAGAGAGAGATTTGTTTTTTTTTTTTTAATTATGGGAAAGAACTCCCCTATTTGTAGAGAAAATAAGATCTAGGGTTTCTTTAGGGTTTTTCATAATTTGCTTCTTTCATGAGATTGAATCTGTACCGTTGATCAAGATGACTTGTGGTGTGAGAGATCTGAGCCATCCATTTCATAGATGGGCCATCAATATTATGGAATGTGCTTAGACCATTATCCCCATTTCCTTAAACCATTTTCCAATCACTATATTTAGATAAAATAGATATCTTGCATTTCATAAAAATGATATGATCATATCACATATTCCATAAGGATATGTCAAACATTATCAAGAAAATAAATACTACCAAAAATTTTAAACAAGATAAAGTCAATATTTACCATATATTCAAATTGGCCATATCCCTTTTTAAAGCATACTTATCATATTACAAAATATGCCATGGTCGCTATATCCTTTCTAAGATTTGACCACATGCCTCTAATCAAAATTACCTTAACTTAAAGTCTTGAACACAAAGCAATTAAAGAGAATGCAAAGGGTGGGGCGTGTCACCCCTTTGTGGCACATGTGGGCCGCCACCCACATGCCACATGATAGGCCCTATGTACTTTGGGCCCCTATGAAATTTTATAAAAAAAAAAGTTTTAAAATTAAATAAAACGAATTAATATATATTTGATTCTTTACAACTTTATAAAATCAATAACTGTATTTTTATAAGTCCAAAAATCATAATTAAAATATTGAGAGATTCATAAAAATTCAAATAATAAAACTAAAATCATTTCAATAATAAAATGAACATAATTAAATTAATATGATGGAAAAATGATCCATATGGTTTTAGGAATTCAATCTGTAATAATGGGGTACTCCACCTTTAACTGTGGACTACAGACCACACTAGCTTTATCGAACCGACCCAGTGTTTCTCATGTCCTACAGTCCAAGCAGGGACTCATTAGTAGGTCACCAAAGTTAGGTTGATGAATAAAGGGGTCGCAATCCCAGCCCGTGGATTACAGGTGCTCCCCTATAGACGAGTCAAGATCACCATGACTTAATACAACCACAACTTTATGTTGTATAGGGGTGTCTCTTGCACATGCATATGCTTCACCCAAAGGTGGATATCTGGCTTTACCGGATGATCTATCAATATGCATGTCGTGTGATGGAACATGGATGAGGTTTTGACCCCTGTCTCAGTAGGCCTACCATCACACACAAGGGTCACACAGTTCCTCGGCTCTCTCATAAAGGCATAAGCTTCGACCTCATCAAGGGTTAACCCAAAACCCTTATCGGTTAATTCTTTATGTCCAAGTACCTTGGGTTTTTCAACCGACTGGCCTAGATCGATAAGCGCAATTCGGTATAAGCAAACATCATTCGCGTAGTATGGTCCTCGAGAGACCACACTCCCACTGAGTTTATATTTCACTATAATAAAAGTATTTCAATATACACTCATAAGGCCTTTAAAGGCCACATAAACCCAACGTATATAGATTGGCATGAGAGAACTCTCTAATTGATCATCTCGACCTCGAAATGTATTGGACATAAAGGGAAAAAAAATTGAATCCAAAAAATAATGTATCTTGTAATAAGTTATTTGGACCGTTTATGATTCCAAACCTTTTTGAAAAGTTGGAGAAATAGTCCTCAAAATTTGGAGAGAAATTTACCGGGGTGCATATTGGAGGGAGGGGGGTCAATTTCAAAATGGGAACATGTTTGTCCTAATATACCGGCGGCATCCCCCTCTCAACCTTTTTTTTCCTAGTTACCCCTTGTTCGGTAAACTGAATACTAGACAGGAGGTTTTTTTTGCGTCTAAACAAAAAAACAGTTGTGAAGTGTTCCAATTACCAGACAGCTCTTTAAGTTTTTTTCGTTTTTTAATAATTTTTTTCGGCATCTCCCTTTTGCTTGCAACCCTCTCTCCCCCTCTTTCTCGTCAACATTTTCTCTCTAACTCAAGAACCCCGGTTTGCAGAATGGGGAATCTCTTCCTTCTCGCTCTTTAAGCTCCATGCGTTCTTTCCCTCTCTAGGGTCAAGATTTTGCTGCATTTTATTTGTTGTGGTCAATTGAGGGGTTGGATAACAACAGATAATTCAGGGGTTTAGGTTTAAGGTTTCAAGGTGGTTTCATGGAGAAGGGTTCGGCTTGAGGGCACATTAACCCTCTTTTGAATCCTTTGCTTTTCTCTCTCTTTCCTCTCTCTCTAATGTAAAACCAGAAAGCAATAATATTATGATCCAAAAGACTAGAAGCCAACAAGACTTTTCCTTCTCACTCTAAAAGAGTCCAAAAGAGGCGGTTCGTGCCGGATTCAACAGAAGGTGCATATCTTGTGCCCTAATCGACCTTTGTGTTTCGTCACAGAGGAGCTTGACGATGGTTTTAGGGTTTGTGGTTTTCCGATGAAGATAGTGGGAATAAGTTGCCGGTTTCCGATAAAGTGGCTCATGGTTCGCGCAATGTCAAAATTTGCGACCAGGTCAAGGTAGATTATGTACCTTGCGATGTTGTCAATGAAAGGGATAACATCGATGTATTCGTAGTCGCGGGGCCGAAGATTGCTCAACCTTTCCCATCTCGATATGCGATTTCTAGATCTTAGAGAGAGAGAGAGAAGCAAAATAGCGATTGAGAGAGATGTGATGAAGGATGAGTGTTGATTGTTAGAGAATGAAAATATTGAAGAGAGAGAGAGGAGGGGAGGGGGGGGGGAGAGTAGGAGGGTAG